GGGGGTGGGGCGGGTGGGTGGCTGCGTCCGATACATGCAAGCGTGTCTCGATTTTCTTTTTTTTACATTTCAGCTTTTTTCTTTTCTCTCGTAGACAATATAAAATCTCACAGACAAGCAAAGAAAAGAATAAAAAAACTGGATGTACATGTTTGTATGTATGTATGTTTGCATGTATCGGACGAAGGGGATGAATGAATGAATGGATGGATGGATGGAGGGATAAAAAGAAGGGCTTGAATTATTGCTTTCTGAGTAATTATTATTTTCACTTGTCATCTACATGAATTGCATCTTTCTCATTCTCTCAATCTCTCTTTCTCACCATGGTGTTCTGTTAACATGTGATTTCTCCATTTATTTGGGAGGAAGGAGGAGGGATGAAGGGAGAGAGGAGGAGGGGAAGGAAGGAGGAGGGATGAAGGGAGAGAGGAGGAGGGAAAGGAAGGAGGAGGGATGAAGGGAGAGAGGAGGAGGGGAAGGAAGGAGGAGGGGGGGGCTCAGAGCTCCTTGCTCAGCGAATCCCGGGCAGTGCTAATCCTCTTTGTGTGGCCTCACACGTTTCCCGCCTTTTTGTCTGGTAAATGATAACAGAAGAGATTGAAAAATGTATTAAAAAATAGGTCTTGAAAAAAGGATAATAATAATAAACAGTCATAAAAAGGGTTATATGTTGTATGTGCGTTTAGTGGTTTAGTACAGATGTTGGTCTAGTGTTGGGTTAGTTCAAGTTATTTTTTGTTAAGGACGTACACAAAGCAAACAACAACAACAAACAGTTTCATGTGAAAAGTGTTGTCAAAATATAACGGAGGATCATCATCATCTCTGACAACCAACAGGAAGACGTACAGTCTGTCCATCTCTCATTGCCCTCACAGACTCTTGACCATAAGGAGATTTTTCCCTGAAATCAAATAACCTGACCATCGTCTGATCTGTCTATATTTATGTCTTTCTGTTTGCTTCCCCCCAGAGAGAGAAGGCGAGTTAATCTGGCTTGTTGAAGAGGCTCCGTGACACTTTGATTTTGCCCACTAATCCGTTGATGGACTCAACTCTATTGATGTCTGCTAAACCAGCTTTTCGCTTCCACAGCAAACAGAGAGCTAACTACCTAAGCTACAGCTAGTTAGCGCTAGCAGCCAGCTGCCTATCAGCTGGAGGACGGAGGAGGGAGGCCAAAACACAAAGGTCGACAGTCTGCAATGAACCTTTTGGTGGTTTTAACCCTTATTGTAGGTCACAAATGGCTTTCATGTTTATAGACTCCATTTACTTTTTTTTAATCAATGATAAGTTGTTTCTGTCTTTCTCAGAATGTCCATTGAAAAGGCAAAAACATGTTATTAGCCTACTCATACGAAAACAGAATAAGGAGTTGTGCAGCTTCCATTTTTTGTTAATTTGGTGATTGCACTAAAGGCATGAATGCTGAGCATCGTTTTTTACTAAAACATAAACATAATCACCAACTCAGTCGGCAAAAACTATTTTATATTGCACGTTTCTGCAAACAATGGGATTAACGTATGTTGTCTGATTTATTTGTTAACATTACTGTGATTGCTCATAGAAAACAACGGCAAATTTTGACACCTAAAATTCACCTCTGCAATGTCTTTTGATTATTTTATCAAGACATTTCTCATGTTACACTTATATGCATAAACACAAAAGAGGTGAATAAAGATGATTTTGGGTGTTTTTATTGGAATCAATTTGAGGATTGTGCATGTTCAATTTTTTATCTCTTATTTTATAAGTGTCATGCTGTTAGGGACAAGTCGCACTGATCTGGTCCTGTCTAGGTCTCGAAACACTCTGGTCCTGGTCATTACTTGGTCTTGGTTTAACTGGTCTTGACTTCAACACTGATGTATCCCATGGTTTGCAAAAATGTGCAATGCCAAAATCTTTCCTGGCGACTCAGCTGTTTATCACGCACTCAATTTGAACATTTGTAGTAAAATTGTCGGCAGATAGCTAGTTTCTAAACATTTCCTGAGACAATTATCCTTTTGGTGTCACTGCAGACGGGGCTCATTCAGCGTTAGCATGGAAGACGAAGAGAAAGAAAGAAAACTTCCCCAGTCCAATTCAAATATCTTATAGCAACTGAAATGGGTTAGCAACAGTTCACAGTCAACTGTTTCTGAAAGGACTTTCAGCGTTGGCTGGAGGACTTAGGATTACGTAGATAGGAAAATAAAATATACAAAAATCTATGTCATCATTTCTTATTGTTAAATCATTTCCATCCAAAATGGATGGTGCATGGGCCAATACGCTTGTTTCTGACATACTGTGGGAGAATAGTTGCATATGTAAATATGCATATGTAAAGAAAGTAGTTTGAGATGACTTTTAACTTAATTGATTTAAATACTCTATTATAAATAACATGGTGGTTAATAATACAAATGTGCCTGAAAAATCTAACAAAAATGGCTGCTTTTCATCAGCCAAAGTCCGTTGTTTAAGAAAATCTAACCCAAATTGAATGGACAAATAGTGCTAAATTGTGATCACACAGTATTTTAGCCCTCGAAGACTAACTCTACAATCATGCTACTGTTTGGAGTAGCCCGATGATGCTTAGAAATTGTAAATGGGAAGCTGTTCCCAAAGCAAGCACCCCACATGACGGGAAAGCGTCAGTTACAGTTTAGGTCTATAAAACCGCATTTACAAAAAATATATCTGAAACCAACCCGACCTCATGGGAAGGCATATCAATAGCCCGCCATTTACTGATCTTTCCACGTGTCATTAGAAAGGATTTTAGGTTTTTCGCATGCCATTATATGTTACAAGGTTAACGTTGTGAAAAGGCTTTTAGCCTGTCACTTAATGCTACGTAGTTACAGTGAAAAGGTTGTGGTTATATTTAGGCAACAAAACAATATTAGTAAGGAAAACATGTCACTAATGTAACTTGAAACTGATCTCATATCAGTGTCCTGGTTGAAAGTCCTGTTTGTTTGAGCCATCCACCATAAGCAGCCTCTTGAGAGTGTAGTTACACGGATGTATTGATATTGCAGTCAGTGCAGACTACATGGTGTACAAATGACACGCTAAAAGCAAGAAAGATGTTCTTATTGCAAGCAAAATGACTTACCATTGCAACGTCATACATACGCCATTTGGCGAGAGTAGGCTATTCAACTGAATTTATACAGCCCAATATCACAAATCACCCAAAATCACAGATCAATTATAGTTCAGAGCCAAAGCTCGGCGTTAAATGGAGTTACATTTTAGCCAAAGAGTTTGAGCTACAAAAGGGCTTCTAGTAAATCGCACCGCAGCAGCAGGAGATGCGGTGCTCTCCACAAACATCTGCTGGGCTGCATGAGATCAAAGCGGGGTGGGTTGCTGGACATAGAGCCTCACACTGCACTTGAATGGAGAGGGAGGCTGGGACTGATAAATAATGGAGGAGGGAACAGAGCACCTTCTGGCTCACAGGTACTTCACCTCCTCATACCCAGTGTCCAGCAGCTTTCGAGCTTCGGGTCCCAGGTGGGAACGAGTAAAACGGTACAAAGAGAAGTGAAGCTTTGCTGGAAAACTGCTTAGAAACTAAATGGCTCAAAATATCAGAAGATGTAAAATTGCATCTCTGTCCTTGTATTTCCTCACATCAATGCCAAATCCAATTCATTTCTTCAGGTCATGACTGCACCAAGTAAAAGCGGAGAATCAAACACGTTACTGCTCTAACATGACTGTTTGGTGGGGGCTGTAGTTAGCTTGCACTGTGACAGAGTGTGCCATGTAGCAGTAAAATATATTTGTACAGAAATTCATGAACAGCCAGCCTCTAACCATAGCTGCCCTGGGAATCTGCACTCACCATCTGAGTCCTTGTAATAAGTTAAATCGTTTAGATTGTTTGGCTGTTTTTGAACTTGACGTGACAATGAAATTAGCAGTCACTAAAGTAAAAGGGATGCTTCTCTCTCTTTCCAACTCTCGTTCTCTAGTCTATCGAACACACGCTGGATATTTAACAACTACAATTTCATTAAAACTCAGGAAGAACTGCTGCATTATTGTGTCATGCAATCACCCAGGTAAAGTTAACATGCCTATGTGGTTCTGCACATACAGTGGCTTTACTTATGTGTGGACAAACTATATATATATAGTTCATCATGTTGGGAAATACGCTTCTTCAATTTAATCCTGTGTCTGTTGAGTATGGAGCTGGAGTCAGGATGTGGTTAGCCTAGCTTAGCACAAAGACTAGACGCAGGGGAAATCAGCTAGCCCGGCTCCAAAGTTAAAATAAATACACCTACCAACATCTGTAAAGCTCACTAAGCCACGTTTCCACCAAGAAGTTCCTGTTCATTTTAGTCCTGTTACTACTTTTCAAGGAACTAAGAGGTTGCCTCAGCCCATTGTTGTTTGAGTTTCCATAGTGGACTTAAGACCTGCGAATATTAGACAAACAACGTCTCGCCCCAGAGGTAAACACACTGCAGCCTGAAGCTCAGTGTGCCTGCTCCATAGTATTTACTGATGCATGTTGAATGTAATGTCTGTCTGCACATAGAATCATTGTGTGAGTGTTTGATAGGTATTTATTTGTGCTTTAGAGCATAACCACCATGAAAATATCAGAAAAAAACTTCCCTCTCATTTACAGCATCTATTTCTCTTTTTCTCTGTTTTTTTTTTTTATGATTCTGGAAAAACCTGACTTTACTTTCAATGTTATCAAACAAAGAGAAATGCTCGCCCCTCCTAGAATGGTCCTTAATCCATTCTAGAGCACTTACTTGTTTCTATGAATGACGCAGTAAACGAGTTGAAGCAGAGACGCTGTGTGTGTTTGACGGATCAGCGACAGTCATCCCTGCAAACCCCACTTCAAACATTCCTGTACTTTCAGAAGGTACTACCCCCCAACCAGGGCCTTTTTGAGGGTGTCCCCACAATATAATATACAATATACAATACAATATAATACAGGCCCTAGACCTGCGGTTAAAACGCAATGAGTTCCTCAAAACGTTCCTAGTCACTGGGGAAGGTTTTAGCATTTGTTAAGGGGCTTTAGTGAGCTGAAGAGATGTTGGTGTATTTTTCTTTTACTTTGGACAGGGCCAAAGGTAGCTGATTCCCCCTGCTTCCAGTCTCTGTGCTAAGGTAGGTTTACCACATCCTGACTCCAGCGCTTCTATTTAACCACAGACATCCTAACTCTTGGGGGAAAAAAAACATATAAGTGTGTTTCCCAAAATGTTGAAATATGTATAGCCTGTACTAATATGTGTGATTTTACATTTGGCACAATTTAAGTGTTAACGTGAACAGTGTATTTTCACATACATGGGTTAACCTGTGCATAAATGTGTGTTTGTGTTATGTGTGCATGTTTTTAGTATCAAATGTCGGTGTAACACCCATTTAGACCGTTGTCGACACACAGCTCCCTCTCTAATTGGTCAGCTGCGGCTGACACCACGTTCTGAACAATGGCCACTGCTGCCTCTCGAAGATCCCTCTTCCTCATCTCCTCCTCCTCCTCCCAAACTCCCTGGTCACATGACTCTGCACCATCGTGACAACCTCTGTTTTGTGGAGACTCCGCCTCCCTTCCTTCCCCCTCCTCCTCCCTGCTAACGGCTAGTGCTAGCTCAGGTTCTTGACAGCTGGTTTTAGTTTGTTTACTGCTACCGTTTATTAGTGCTGGCGCTTGTTGTTGTTGTCTGTTGTTAGTATCTCCTTCTTTGCTGCTGGTGCTGTTTTGTGTCTCATCAGAGTCCCGGTCGGCGTGCTCTAACTCACCGCTGTTCACGGCTGTGGCATTGATGATGTTGGCGTTGCTCTCTTCTTTCGCTCCTCCTGCCTCTTTGCTCTTCTTCACAGGGCTGCCCCCCGTCATCTTCTCCTCCTCCTGGTGGTTGTGTTCGGCGTTCTCTTCCCCTGTGCCGTTGGAGCAGCCGTTCTCCCCATTGGTCACGGGAGCTTCAACTGGCATCTTCTCCACCTCCTTTGCCGCCTCCCCTCCGGTCTCCACCGCCGGCGTCTTCTCCTCCTCCCCTGCATCTTTGTCATTGGTCTCCTTGGCCGCTGTGTCAACTTCACCATCAGCAGCTCCTTCCTCCACTGCCTCTTCTCCCTCTCCTCCCTCCACGGCCTCCTCCTCCTCCTCCTTGGCACCCTCACCCATGTCCACACTAGTGGACTTGCCCTTTCGCAGGATGAAGTTCTTCAGAGAAACTGCGCGGCCAAAATGTGTGCGCTTGACCTTGGCTGACTTGCCGTCTTTGCCTTCCTCTGCTGCTCCATCCTCACCTGCAGGGAAGAAAAGAGTTCAGGGTTAAAGCTTCCTTATGACGAATGAGATTTTCTTTGATTACCTCTGAAAGGTAATCAAAGGATCACAAAGGATTCAAATAAATTAATTGATAGGTGAGTTTATGATTTTCCCAAGCATAATAATTAGTATACTGGTAACTAAATTTAAGGCTGCCTTAATACATTTTTAGCCACTAGGGGGAAATAAATAAATCTAGATATACTGACACATACAGCCACACCTGTCACTGGCTTATTAAATTGGTATGGATGAAGATCGTGACCAACTGAACACAAGTCCAGTTTTTACTCTACTTTTAGCTCCTTTTTGGTCTCAATGTAGCAACTCTGCTGGCTCTTTAGCTGCTAAAGGCTCAACTTTCCTCACCAGCCAAATTGGATTTAAAAAAAAAAAATCGATATAAAGAAATCCGATTTGAAAAAAATATATGATTTGCAATTTAACAACTCTGTATTGTATCTACTTTCAAGCAACGCCGGTGCACAGTAAGCACCTCATTTGCCCATTTTTTTTATCTCACATTCTTTACGGGAAGATGAGCTGTGCTCGTCACAAAGAGGAATTTAGGTTGAAAGTGAATACGTTTATACCGATCTCCAACCAAAATGTAGATATTCTCTCTTGAAAATCAGTTTAAAAAATGAGCCCAGGTTTCTGTATTTTTGAACCATTTTCTGTATGCAGCCAGAGAGCAGAGAGGCAGCTAAATTTAGTCTTTGCTGTTGACTGAAGCCAAAGTGTGACTAGAATTTCACATCAGATGTTGAATATTTTATTTGGGACAATGTTCAATTACATTACCTCCCCCAGAGTTAGCAAGCCATTAACTCCTGTCTGTGCTCCCTGGACAGGGACACACGAAATGTGTGTGAACACGGTGTCAGACTGTGAATGTTTGAATGGTGTCCATGGTAAACTCTGTGTCTGGCCTTCTCTAAAGGGTCACATAAATCTGGAGGGGGGTCATGAGATGATTAATGGTGTAAAGTTTTGCTACACTCTGATCTGTGGGTTTATTTGAGAAATATTGGATAATTTAACCTTTTTGTGTTACAAACAGTTGTTTGAAAGAAATCGGAGATGTTTAGAAATGTGGCCCCAACCAGATGCTGTGTTTTGGTACAAAGTCACAATTTCTGTCATCTAACCTGTGGCTGCAGCTGTAGTTGCATCCTCCTCCCCACTGGGGGCGCACTCTGTGTTGGCACGTTTGGACTTGGGGATGACGCGCTTCTTGAAGGAGGTCCAGATCTCGTTGGCATGTTGCGTCACAGTCACACCTCCCGCCGTTGCTGCCTTCTCCTCCTCCCCTCCCTCAGCCTTTTCCTGCCCTCCCTCCATCTCAACCTCCTCTGCTCCTCCCTCTGCCTTAGCCTCCTCTCCTCCCTCATCTCCTCCCGCCGCTGCCGCCTCCTCTGGCTTTGTGTTGTCAGCAGAGTCTTTGTCAGAACCCTTGGCCTTACCGCTGATGCCAACCATAGATGTGTCCCTCTTCAGGCCCTGGAAGGTCCAGGAGCGTTTCAGCTTCCACCTTTTCTGCCCCGACTCCTTGGAGTCCAGAGTGGAGGAGTCTCCGCCTCCTTCTCCTCCTTCAGCTCCATCCTCCTTAAGTTCTTCTCCTCCTCCTCCTCCGCTCTTCTTGTGAGCCTTCTGAGCCATGAGCTTCTTGAAGGAGTGCCAGCGCTTCATGTGCTTGGTGGCTGCCGAGGAGGACGATGCTTTCTGTTCTTCTTCTGCGCCTCCCTCTGCACCTCCCTCTGCGCCTCCCTCTGCTCCTCCTGCTGCTGCACCCTCCTCTATGGTGGAGTCTGCAGTGGTGTTAAGTGCTTCAGGATCTTCCATCCGGTCCAAGGACTTGGATCGGACCATTACTTGTTTCTGGGGTTCTGCTGCGGCGCCGTCCTTCTTCTCGGTGCTGCGATGGGAGAAGATCCTCGCCACCGGCTTCCTAATTAAATCTCGAACTGTGGATTTAGCCTCGGCCGGTTTGCCCTTCTCTGCTTTCTTCTCCTCCTCCTTCTCTCCATTTTCTGGAGCTTTCTCTATCGCTGTACCTCCCTCTGCTCCGCCCTCAGCTGCTGCACCCTCCTCACCTCCTTTCTCTCCCTCTTTCTCCCCTCCTTCAGTGGCATTCTCTTCTCCTCCTCCAGTGGCTGTGCTCTGCTCTTTCTTCTTCCTTCCCCCCATCACCTTCCCCAGGCCGCTCTTGTTGAGGAAGGAGTCCAAGAACGAGGTCTTGGGCTCAGTAGAGGAGGCGTTTTCCGAACTCTGAGGAGGAGCTGCCTCCCCAGTCGCTGCTGCTTCTCCCTCCTCGGCTCCTGTCACCGCCGCTGTGTCGTTAGTCACTGTCTCTTTGTTATCAACAACCTCGCTGTTGACAGCGGTGCCATCTTTATCGACAACTTCACTGTTGACAGTCTCTGATTTTGCGTTGGCGTCTTTAGCCTGTTGCTCGGCCTCCGCCGGCTTGCTCTCCGGGGTTTTCCCGTCTTCCTGGACCACCGGCGCCGCGCTGGCCTCCGTCGCCGCCATTTTGGAAAGGGAAAACAAACAACAACAAAATAAAAAGTGTGTTCTTTCCTTCCTTCCCTGGCCTTCTGCCCTCCTCTTCCTCTCTCTTTCTGTTTTTTTTTGTTCCTCCCGCTGTGGTGGCGCTCTCAGGTCATGGAGAGCAGGGTGGAGAACAGTGATGAGGAGGAAAGATACTCAGCATCCTACTAGTCCTCCAAACTCCTGCAGAGAAAAGAGGGATGAGAAGAGGGGCAGAGAGAGAAAGAAGCGCAGATGGTTAATAGCCTGAATCAACACCATAGACACTCAATTAGTCTAGTCTAGACTGTGCATTGAATGGGGAATGAAATATAACAAAATAGAGAATCTCAGAGGGAAGTGCAATGCAATTATGATGTTTCCTAATCAGTCACACTTCCAAAATTCACACCCTGTGTGATCTGCTGTGGGACACACACACTCGTACTTTTTGAAATTACATGGCTCAAGAGGTTTTTGGAGATGCAAAATGTGCACCACACAGCAGCAATAAAAAGGCCTCGCTTCCTAAAAGCCTCATTATTATTCTGTTCAGAGGTTGACGCTTAACTTTCATCAGTTGGTGTTTCAAAACCACAGATGGACGGCCCTGAGCTGGTATTTGTCCAGAAATGTAACATTGTTTTGTGTTTGACAGTCTCATCCAGCTCAGAGACCTTATTTAAGCAACATGGCGATTCATGGGTTGAATGTTCATTCAAGGGATTTGGTATCGCACGGCCATAAAGTTGACTTTCTGATACAACTAAAAACAGAATGGTCACACTTGAGAGAGTTTTTGTCAGTAGTATGGGTAAACCTCTAAAAATATTGGATGCTATGTCCATTAGCACCTTTTGTTAGACTCTCCTTCCTTGGTGTATCCACAAAACACCCACATCTTTCAAGGGTTCATCCCATCATCAGGCTTGATTTCCTAGACTTGACAAAGATCCTCTATAGCACCAGGAGACATTATAGTTCCAAAGGGTGGTTTCTACTGAAGCCGTAAATCTTTAGAAACGCCTCAAATATTTCATATTTATAATAACATGTCACCCAGTGCAACAGTGCGTTGATGTGTTTTTAAAGGAGCTCTATGGCACAGAGCAAGAAGTTATATCAGCCTTTGATACCCGCACATTACTATAGCATTTTCATGGGATTTGTTGACAATAAGAAAAATATACCAGACTTCTCCTTTAAACGCTGCTGCTTGGTTGTAACACCTTTGGAGAATTTACTGAATGAATCAGCAGATCAATGAATTTGTGAGTCACACACTGATGCTTTTCAGTTGTGTGAAACTGTGAAGAGTCCAGACGTTTAGTGAATTCAGTCACACACTCTCCGAGGAGAAGGTGAGTGAGTCAGACTGCAGGAGGCAAAGAGATGCAGAAAGAGAGGCACTCGGGTGGAGAAACAATCACACAGGGGAGATGGAGGGGCAAGTGAGGGAGGAGAACACAGACAGACAGAGAGAGAGAGAGAAAGAGAGAGGTGTAAACACATACATCACATGCTCCAGATAATCTCACTATGTTGTTGCCACAACTGACTGACTGACTGACCAACTGGATGGCTCACTGGTCGACCGAACGCCATATTGGCTCGCTTGCTACACTGGCTGCCTGTTAGATTTACTGTTTGATTCACTGACTGGCTGGCTGGTTAGTTTACTCAGTTCAAACTGTTTAATCAGTCAGAGCACTCCGGTAAAAACTAGAATTACCACCTCCGCCAACCAGTCAAGTTGCAGTGTACATCCATGTCTGTCCAAATCATTTTATCTCTTACTCAAATCAGCCTTCATGATTCCTATTTCGTTGTCTCACTGGTACCTGAAACAACACCGCCAACCACCACACCAATAAATGGTAATGGTAAATGGACTGTACTTGTATAGCGCTTTTCTAGTCTTTCTGACCGCTCAAAGTGCTTTCACACTACTTGTCATCATTCACACACTGAGGGCTAAGATACACCTGCCATCAGACTATCACATTCACACACATGCACAGCTACGGGAGTAATGTTGGGGTTAAGTGTCTTGCTCAAGGACACATCGATATGCGACCAGCGGAGCCGGGGATCAAACCACCGATCCTCTGATTGAAGGACGACGCTGCTCTCCACTTAGGCCATGTCCACACTACTCCGTTTCCATTTGAAAAGGCATATGTTTTGCTACGTTTACACTGAGCGTCCACACTACGCCGGAGTTTTCGAGCACCGAAAACGGAGGAGTTTGAAAACGCTCCCGAGGATGGATACCTTTGAAAACTCCGGGGCTGTGTCTTCGTGTGGACGGTCGAAAAGGGATACGTTTAGAAACGATCACGCCCACACCTGCGTTCGCTACTCCCTGATTCGTCACACACCTATCACGTGACCGTTTCCCAGAAGATCACAAACAACAACTTTGATTACAGATCGACTACCAGGTCAATTCAACATGGACAACTGATTACAGGTGTTGCTGACCTTGTTGTCTTTACTAGCAGCTGTTCAGTTAAAGTCTGCATTTCTGCAGAGAAGCAGCTGTTAATGGAGCGATTAGCGAGCGGTGTGTCCAGCGGCGTTATCAGACCTACGGAGCGGCCGTCTGAAGTCACGGTTATCGGCTTTAGAGAGGGTGATGGACAAAAAACGGAGGACTTTCCTTTTCTTATTAATGCTTATTTTGTTCTGCACAACTATTGTGAAGTCCACACACATAAACTATAAAGGAACAAAACATGAATTGCTCTCCAGTAGGACAGAGACTTCAGACACCAGCAGAGCTACGAGTGAGAACAGAAACAATGAAACCGAGGGAACGAGTGAGACAAGTGTTGACCACATTTATGGACCCATAATCTAGTAAACCATTATGTGTAAGTGTTAATATTCAACTAAATTTGATGTGTGAGAGAGATAGAGCAAGACCTGCAGTGTTGTAACTAAGTCTGAAAAATAAACCTTCTAAAACCAGAGCCAGTTTTATGTATATTATCTGGAAAAATAGAGAAGACTTGCTGCTCACCAGATAAGGCACCGGTTTGCTCCAACTGAACAACATCTTAAACCCTCTGCACTAGCACACCTCCGAGGTCGGAATTGGGTGGAAGGCCTCGACAATTTCTGTGACTTTAGAAACACAATCCATGATTAGCAAGCTGTGTGGAGGCGAGAAATTAGGCTGGGTTTAAAGTTCTCTCTCAAGCTACCTTTTTCTTTCTTACAGAATTTCTATAGCAAATACTTGTCCAAAAGGGTGTGCCGTTTCCCCCATAAGTGAATATTTATTAAGACTTGTTTCTCTTTTCACCACAGAATGTGGCCGTATAAATCCTTTTGCCTGACAGTGTAGTCAGATGACACGTTGTATGAACTAGTTATTATCAAACACACCCCCAGCATTTAAATCCAAGATTCTACACAGGGCGGAGGACCGGACGTTTGGATTCAGCCAAAGCTTGTGTCTTAAAGTGTCCCAAGAGGCAATGGGAAAAAGTAGTCTGCATATGTAGGAAATGGTAGCTCAGACAATACAGGAGGCGACTGATCACCTCAACCATGAATTCACTGGTTTCAAGTCATTAAAACGCATTTAATAAAATCATAAAAATTGCAGCTTTAAACAGAATTTATAGTATTAATACATGTGAGTTTCTCCTGGATTCTAACCAGCTTTGAGGCACGTTCAGTCACACGAGACGAAGCTTGTTTTGGTTTCTCTTTATTTTGGGTTGATTATATTTGCTCTTGTTGGGTGATTACGCTGCTGCAGCAGCAGAGGAGCATTAGCGTGTTGGATGGTGGATGTGAGGCTGAAGCCCCGAGGTGTTGGAACGGCATCAGACAGAGGAGGACGACAAAATGGAGGGATGGGATGAATTGGGGGGAAGAAGAGGAGGGGGTGCAGGATTGGGAGGAGGAGTGGTGCAGACATGGGCTCATTGCGAATTGTGTTTCAATTCGTCTGTCTCTCTGCCTTTCATTCTTCACCTCCGTCTGTCTTTGTCACTTTCTGACTGTCTCCATCCTTTTTTGCTTGTCTTGCTTTTCCTCATCTTTACCTATGTCTTTCTCTATCTGTCTCATTTTACCTACCGTTTCTTCCATCGCTGCTGAGTCTCTCTTTCTTTTCTTTACTCTTTGCCTTTTTCTCTCTGGCTTTCCTCTTATTCCATCTCCATCTTATTTTCGGTCTTCCCATTGACTTTCTTACTCTCTCTTCCTTTTCGTTACCATTATCATCCTCTCGCCATCTTTTTTTGTCCTCTGCATTTGTTGTCTTAATCACCAATACGTCCTCTATCCATGTTTCTGTATCTCTCTCTGTTTGTGTCTCTCGATTTGTCCCCTCCTGTCAGTCTTTATCTCTCATTTTGTGCTTCAGTCTTTCTGTTTATGACCTCTCTGTCTGACTGACTCTCTTCCGTCCAAAATTCATCATATTTAACTGATCATAGCAGAGAGCAAAGACCGTGCAAATGTTCCCATAACCCTAATATATATAGTCACATTTAAAAAAGAGAATCAAGGACACACTGTGTCATTAAAGTTCAACAGGTTGAAACCAGGTTCCCATCTAACCTGTGCCGCCACCTTTTGGCAAGGAAAGTAAAAGCTGCTTTAGTTTAAACAGGCATTGAGCTGTGTGTGACAATTTATATTGTACTAGTTATACTTGTTAAATGGAGATTACTTTCTGCTATACAGTAAAGAGAATCTGTCCTGGTTTTTTTTTGTTGGATGTCTGAAATAAGGTCTGTGCTTAGCACAAGCTTTCTTCCGATGTTCTGTTATCTGACATTAAATGAAACAATAAATACCACACTCGTGAATTTTGAAAAGTGTCTTAAGAAAGGTTGATGTATGAGACTACTATGTGTCACCAGGCCTAACACTAGCCCGCCTTTAGCTTAAAAGTGGTGATGTGAAGTCATGCAACATGTACTACCTTTATACTACCATTGGCTTTTTACTTCTGGCAATTGCATTTTTGCTTCAAAAATCATTAAAAAGTGTTATTTTCCTGAAGCGAACATGTAGGTTTTATAAACAGATTTTTTTATCAACTCTTTTTAAAAAAAGATTCTGCTGTTGTTCTTGAATGCACTCTTTATGAAATAAGTAATTGCTGCTAGTGACATTGGGATCTTAAAATTGTTTCCACAGATTAAACTGTGGATTTGACGTAGCTTGTCAATGTTAAG